AATAAAAAAAAAAACAAAAAGAAGGATTTTCATATATCCTGTCCTCCCCTGCCTCTCTGCCTGCTCACCTGGCCACCCTTCCTGCTGGTCTGGGTCCTGAGTGTGCAGGGAGTGGGGCCTGCAGACTGGTCCTAGTCCTTCTTCTCTGGGTGCCTGGGCATTGCTCTGGATCCTATAGGTGGAGGTGTCAGTGAGTCCCAGCTTAGAGCTGCTGCATATTCCTGTTGAGCCAGAACTTTGTCTCCCTATATGGTGTCTTGGAAAGAGTAAAAAACCCTTTCACTTTTGGTAACAGTAGACCCTCCACAGCTGACCACCTTCCTTCCCACTCCTGAAGTTGACCTGATTTTCACAGAGCAGACATGCACCACAAGTATGTACCAGCACAGCAGGCCTGAGTCATTATGGTGCCCGCCTCTGTATGCTGACCAGCTTGTCATAGTCCTTGGGGGGTTCAGTTTACAGAGATTCTCCTGTATTTTGTTGATACTAGTGTGGCACCTCCAGCTTTCTTTTAGAGAGTATTTGCCTGATTTTTTTTTTATTAACTCTAGATTTTTTTCCTGAACATTTATGTCATTGACAGCACATGACTGGATTCTTCAGAAGTCAAATCTAAGAAGTCCAAAGTCTTTTCACAGGAACATATTAAAAGGTTCTTTTTACATGTTTAATTTTTTTTTTTTTTTTTTTAAGACAGAGTCTCACTCTGTTGCCCTGGGTAGAGTGCCATGGTGTCATCATAACTCACAGCAACCTCAAACTCTTAGGCTCAAGTGATCCTCCTGCCTCAGCCTCCCAAGAGGGGACTATAGGTGCCCACCACAACCCCTGGATAGTTTTTCTATTTTTAGTTGAGATGCAACCCCTGGTTAGTTTTTCTGTTTTTAGTAGAGATGGGGGTCTCGCTCTTGCTCAGGCTGGTCTCAAACTTCTGTGCTTAAGCAATCCACTGGCCTTGGCCTCCCAGAGTGCTCGGATTACAGAAGTGAGGTGCCTAGCCTTAAATAGTTTTATATTTATTTTTTAAAATTTTCTTTGTTTTATTTGTCCTATTTTTTCTTGTTTCTGTTCCTTTCTTTGCCTTTTAGGATTTGCTAAATGTAATTTTTTAGAATTCAATTATTTGTTCTCTACTGGCTTGAAAAATATGTAGTGTATTTCTTTTCTCTTAGGAGTTATTCTAGACATTTTTTGTCTTTTGCAAAATTAGAGCTCGATTCTTTTTTGTTCTAGACATTTTAATACACAGCCTTCCCAGGTTCTAAAGTTAACCATCATGTTTCCTGATTAATATCATTGTCATGTTTGTGATCAATGCAAAGACTGCAGCCACAGCCTGCCTCCTCGCCCTGGCCTGGGTGCCATCTGTGTCTATGGGACAGCTCTTGCCCTTTCTCTCCCCTATGGAGTATGGGTATTTGATTTGGTCACTCATGGCTTTGCTGCTCTCTTCTTACCCCTTTTAGGATCTCAGAACTGCCATTAGGATCATTTTGCTTTTGCTTCAGGGTCATCTTTTAGGGTGGGAAACTCATTTTCTTTGGTGGAAAACCCAGTTTTTGTAGATACCTTGTCTCTCCTTCCTGAAGGGCACTTGCTGTGGGTGGAATTCCAGGCCACAGCTGCCATCCTGCTGGCTAGCTCCCCTGTGGCCGCCTCCGAACTGCTGCGGACCACGT